TTCCGGTTAGCTTCTTAGCTTAGCCTCCGTCACAGCGACATACGTCGCAGCCAACTGATCCAATCATTTTAAACTTCAGCAGAGGCCACGCCTCCTGCAAGAATCACCTGTCTATGCATCAAGTCCAGACCCTTGTCCGAAGCAAAGTGAAGGACAGGGTCTGGTTTAAACCAGGCTAACATTRACAGGACCAGTAGCTCCTTTAGGGACCGAAGACTGGTCCTAATACAGTTGAACACCATTGATGTGTTGGGGATTAGGTTTAGGACTAAGGTGTGAATGAAGKGGGGTTAGGGTTGGGGTGACAAATAGAGCAGCTTTGCCCGGACATAAGGCCTTGGATGAACGTTTCCTCACAGGTCAATTAGCTGGCTACTGTGTGATTGGTCAGAAGTTTGTGGTCCTGTTTGTTTATGCCGAAAAGCGCTAGGACAGCAATGGTATTGAAGCATTGCTTCAACTACTTTTATTCTAGAAGCCGGCTGTTATGTGTCTGAAGAACATAGTTTTAAGGAGCAGTTGTCTGAGGTAGCCAGAAAGTACGACTATTTATATGAGTCTTCTAGACATTTATAAAAATAGTTAGATGGCCTATACTCCTGGATAAAGAGTACACAGACATTATGCATGGAGGAATCTGTCTGCTGAAAAGTGTGGTGCTTTATCCAAGGCAGATTTGTGACCAAACAGCAGATATGGGAAGAAACCCCAGGCTAAGATGTGTACTGCAGCAAGAGGGGTTTCCCAGAAGCTCTGCGCCTTGTGTCTCATGAAATGGAAAAAGTGTGTGCAAAAACAAACCTACCACAACATGACCAGTGGCCTCATGTATCAACAGTGCGTACGCACAAAAGCCTTGCATACACCCTTTCCATGCAAAACTCCAGATGTATTGAGGCTGAAATAAACGTGGAAATGTGCTCAGCTCCACACGTTTCTTTGGTTCTGGTTCCACTGGCAACACTAAGAGGTGATTCTGCAAACTATCTGTTAGCAAAATATCTAAGAATTGTAATGAAACTTTAGAAACCAACTAAACATCCAGAGAAGTTTACAGCATGAGATGCAGAAGGCCTTGCTCATGGGAGATAAAAATGTATCTGGGGTAAGAAAAGGGGGTGGGAGGGGGGTATATTTTGGGTCTGAGGCAGGTGTTGGCATGGAGGGAGGGATGGTAGGGTTGAGGGGAAGGGGGCTGGAGGTGACAGTGGTCACAGTCTGTCTCAAATATCAGTGGAGTCTCGAGGCAGCTGCTCTCTGGTGAGTGCTCCCATGTTCCTGCTTTTAGTGAATCACTTGTCTTGCTCCAACATAGAGATTATAAAATGACATTATGCATCTGTGCAGAAGCAGAAATACCAGAGAAGAGTTGTCGGACTGGTTTTAAAGCTAATGTTTGACTGCTGACGAGCTGCAACCTGAGAAAAGGGCTGTTTGGTGTGTTTTTTTTATCAGTTTTACTGCTGATTAAAATTGAAATGAAAAAAAAAAAAAAAATTTGGCCACAGCATCTTGTCTGTAAAACTGAAATACTTGTCAAGATAAGACAGATATAGTGCATGGATTACATGAGCTGAACCTTTATTCTTGGAAAGAAGTTAATCTGGTCTGTTATTAATACCTCAACCTTTAGCTCAGGGCTGTTTGTGTTAGAAGTCAAGAACACTGATATAAAAGTGAAAAGAATATTAACAAGCACAATTTATTTTTACTTTAAATAATTTCACAAATGTTTGCTTTTAGAATAACAAATTCCTGTTGCTAATTTAAAAGTTTTTTAATTGCTTTTTTCAGGTAATTTTCTTAGAAATTACTTTAGTTTGAAAATGTGTCAACTTCTTGAAACTATTTATCATGGTAGAAAGCTAAAAATAATGTTTATAATAAAATGCTTGATATTATGTTTTAGTAGAAACTAATTAATAGCAATCACCCAAAAAAACTTAAAATGAAATTTTGAATGTTCTATTCTTAGTCCTTTTCAGTTCAACATTGGGTTTTGTACCAAATGATACAAATTGTTATTTACTCTGATAAAATGTTAATCTTTTTCTATTATTATTATTATTATTATTATTATTATTATTATTATTATTATTATTATTATTAGTATTATTAGTATTTGTACAGTGCCCTGAGAAGAAACACGGTGCTATATAAATAAACTGAATTGAATTTTGAACACAGTGTGCGAACTATTTACCAAGCTGTTTTCATTTTAAAGTGCATTGATAAAGTTATAGTTTATGGCTTCAAAAGGATAATTTTTTTATATGTTATGTATTTTTAATTTGTTATGGAGGCAGATATAATCATGGTCTACAAGATCCTGGTCTGTTTGGCAAAATTATAAACAAGAGGAATTCAAAAAGTTTTATCATACAAAAGAAAAAACAAGTGTGCATGAAATGGAGTATACTTTTACTGGAGGCCATTTATCAAATGCAATTTATTCAAATAACAAAATTTAAAACTAGAAGCACTCGGTAAGTGCAAACCTCCACCAAGACCAATTTCCCCCATCCTGTAATAGAGTTACAAAGGGGCACACCAATACTACAGTGCCACCTGCTGGACACTTTGAAACCYACGCCCTGTGAAAGCATCACAGCTTTGCCGATGTCAGAGTGTTAAAAGAAAAAAAATTCCTGTATCTGCATCGTGATCCGGTACATCACCAAAATTTAATTCCTTGACCCATTATCCATATGTGGTACAAATTTCATGACAATCCGTCCACAAATTTTTGAGTAATGTTGTCCACAGACAGAACGACAGATCGACAGACAGACATACGCGCCCAAAAACATTTCTTCGCCCTTGGTGGAGGTAATAGCTGTTATTGACCAAAGTTCTAGACATAGGCTGAAGATGGGAAATTGGCTAAAAGTGGCAGTGTTTGATTGGAAATTACATGCCTGATAATAATAGACTGTATGGATTGATTTGACTTTTAGTGGCTGCTTTGAGTCTGATGGAAGTCTTTGAACTTGTATAATAAATGTGTCATATGGGGACAGTKTTTGATCAAATCCAAGCTACTGAGGTTTCCTCATTTAACTTAATAAAGCTTAATATTTCAAAGACCAGAAATGGTACAATAACCAAAAGTTTGTTCCTAACAGTTAATAGTTTAACTGGTAGCATACGTATCAAGGATGCAGGAGGAGATAGGTGCAAAAAATGCATTAGATGAACAAACAGGATCTCAATGGTGTGAATTTCATGTACATCAACAAATGAGAACACAGTGCAGTCAATACCAAAGTCTGCATTATGTCCTGCATTAAAGAATATTAATTTCGCCAGGCAAATACCATTGATATCACAGATCTCTTTTGCTAGGGAGGCCTGGATCGRAAGGCAACTTAATGTGCATGCTTTTGGTTTGTGTGAGGAAACTGCAGTACCCAGAGAAAACTCACTCTGGTATACCTTACTGAGTTTTCTCTGGGTACCCCATACCTGAGTGCGAACCCACTCTGGGTAAAGTAATTTACCATACCTGAGTGTCTTGATGTGTTGCTCAGTAGTGTTGCATGAACATGACTCTCATATACGATCATGCAGTCTAACCCTGGCCACCTCAATATCACAGCAGGTTTGATGCCCCATTCAAAGGCTGGTTGCTTGTGCTGAAAATGACCCTGCCTCTCCGCCGTGCAGGAATGGCCACCACTGGGAACCTTTCTGAAGAGCAGGTGCACTGCTCCATCTGTCTGGACGTCTTCACCAACCCCGTCTCCATCCCCTGTGGACACAACTTCTGTCAAACCTGCATCCTGGGATACTGGAAAACCAGCCCGTTGTACCAGTGTCCCATGTGCAAGAAGTCCTTCCACAAGAGGCCCGACATCAGTGTGAACACAGTGTTAAGGGAAATAGCAGAGCAGTTCAAGCAGATTAGGGTCAAGGCCACTGAAGGGAAGGAAATTGGGGAAGGAGGAGTAGGGAAAGCCAAGAAGTGTATCATGGAGAGGAGGACCAAAGAGGATGAGGAGCAGCTGCTGGAGAAAAACCAGAAGCAACAGCTTCTAGATGAGTTGAAAGAAAAGCAAAAGGAGGATAAGAAAAAGAAACAAGGGTTGAAGGAGAGTCAAGGCGAGGAGCTACCTCCTTTAATCCCTCCGGTGTTGGCACCTAAAACCTCTCCTCCACCATCGCCCCAGGCTGCAGCTCAGGCTCCACCTTTAACTCAAACATCCCCTCCACCATCGCCTCAAACTCCACATCCACTTCCTCCAACCTCACCTTCTCCTCCTTCCTCTTCACTCCTGTCTTCATGGGAGGAGGTCCTGTGTGATGTTTGCTTAGGGGAAGGCCGACCAAAAGCCGTCAAATCGTGCCTCGTGTGTCTCACCTCCTACTGTGAGGAGCATCTCAAATCTCACACCGCCAGGTTCACCAAGCACAAGCTGATGGAACCTGTGGCCAACATGGAGGACAGAATGTGCCCGAAGCACGAAAGACTCCTGGAGCTGTTCTGTAAGAAGGATCAGACCTGTGTGTGTGTCCTCTGCACCGAGACCGACCACAGGGCGCATTATACTGTCCCTGTGGAGAGAGAATGGACCGAGAAGAAGGTGAGACAGATTCACTGCTACTAATTTATATAAAATTTGTGACTGATAAGTACATTTGTCAGAGTTCATTGTGGTTAATGTCCACAGATACACAAGGTGAAAAGAGTTACATTTTCATTAGTCATATAATGCATTTCCTTTTTACTTGGGTATGGTTCAATTGGAACAGATCGCAAAGTTGAAATTTCAAGTTGGAAAATAGGAAATTCCTGAACAACCCCAGCTCCATGTTCCATGACCCACAACGGCCATAGTTTGTAGTGCAGTGTTAGCATTAGCAACACTGAAGGGCAAATGATGCTTCGCAACGGTGGTTCATGGAGTCCAAAAAGGTGCATGTTTCTTGTCATTGGTTTGATTGGAGGCCGGGCTGTATTCACACCAGAAGTGAATCGCACCAGAGTTCATTTGGAAGCGGACCAAGACCACCTCAAAAATGGATCTCAGTCCGGTTGTTTGATCCACACCAGGGTTCACATGAGTGTATTCACACCTGCATAGAAGGTCCAGACCAATGTGGGAAACAAACTCTGGTCCGTTTAAAGCAGACCAAATATGTCAGGTRAGAGTACACCCTAAAAACCCAGTACGCAAGTGCTCTCAAGTCTCACGCATTGACCATGAGACAAACATTTCATGAAGTGCACACAGTACACTTTGTATTTCTCAAGCTAAAACACACCCTCGCCCATTTTTGAAGAGGAACCAAAGTTTCCCACACTGGCTGGAGCACAATATGGGGGCATGATTGCAGTGTTGCTAACTTAGCAACTTTGTCACTCATTTAACAAGTTTTCAGATGCTCTTTAGCAACTTTGTTTTTCTTTTCAAAAAAGCAACAAATCTAGCATTTTTTTTTTCTGTTTTATTAGACTTTGGCAGCAGCCTCGCACAGCAAACCCTATCTGCAGTCAGAGCAGAAAGGAGACCGACTCCACTCCGAGTCAGCAGTGCAAATAAATCACGTTCTCACAAAGTTGCTGCCGATTCTGCCCCGTATTATAAAGCGGGACGTAAATATAATTTTTAATGTAATGGAGTTTTTTTCCCACAAAAACTATTGCACTAAAATAAATCCCTGCATCCCAACCCCAGTGGAGAGTTGAGTTCATCCATCAATCAARGCAGTGATTGTGCTGTCAGCAGCTCACTCCTTCTCAGATCAAAACTTGAGAGCCCTGCCAATATGGCTGCCCTGTGGATGAAAAATCGTGATATATTTTTTTTTCTTCGCCTTTGTTCATGTGTAGCTCAGTAACACACTACCACTCATTAGGACACTGTTTTCACAGTGCTTAAATGAATAAAATGCAGATAAATCTATTGTTGTTGTCTTGAATTGCCAACACTTAGCATGGCAGTGAGCAMAAATATGAGCAAATCTTTTGAATTTTCTGAGTTACAAATGAAAAACAGTAAAGATCTGAGTTCTGACTTCTCAGGTTAATAGAACACAACATTACTCAGCAAACCCATGAGCATGCAACATTTGTTCCAAGTTTGCTAACCTCTGATGAAATTACACACCGTAAACCTGGCATGGCAGACTAAATAAAGCTGTTCTTTGACTTCAAATAGCTGAGCAATGGTACGTTTCAAGCTTTGGTGTTTGGCAGTTTCAGAACATACTTGATTATCTTTTACAGAATCAGTAAAAAAAATCCAAAAACGTGGGCACAGACATTTCCGCTGAAAAAATAGCAATCCATTTTAAAATTCTAAAYAAAGCATGAACATAAAGCTTCAGAAACTTTAATAGGTCTTTATATGCAGATCTAAGTCTTCTTGGACAATTACAGCTAAATGCAGATTMAAATATTATTTGTAGTGTTGCTTGTACACACAGCAGTATTCCTATGTTTTACAGGCACAGCTGAAAAAGACTGAAATGGACGTCCAACAGATGGTCCAGGACAGAATGAAAAAGGTGGAGGAGATCAAACACTCTGTGGAGCTCAACAAAGTGAGTCTACATGAATTTCTGTATCAAATGCACTGAAGCTTAAAAGCTCTAAAATTTTGGAAATCCACTTTTAACCGTGATCATGATGTACAACTTTAAGTATTTTAGAATTAAGGCATGTCACATCATTTGATTAAACAGAGGACTACATTAATCATTTTTATGATCTATTGACATTTAGAGAGTTGGGGTGTGTTCTTGATGGGGTTCGGGTCTGCTCAAGTTAGGGTCAAATACTTTAAAGGTAAAAGCGTGAGTCCCTGCAATGAGAGCCAGAACAGGCATGGCCTTTACGAAGTCTTGGCAAGGATTTTAGGTGCAAATTGGGATAACAGTTTGCTCTCACTACAGATAATAGGGTTGAATAAGTTGACAATTAAGGATTTACAAAACTTCCATAATGAGATCGCAGTCTGTTATCATGGTGGCAGCATATTGAGTTCTTAAGTGGAGTTAGTSAATAGTGGTAGTGAATCCTGGTGGCATGTAAGCATGGTGCTGTTTGGTCAATAATTTGAAAGAGGAGCAAGAGTATTTTGTTAGTTTTATCGCCTGTGTTTATTTGTGTATTCTGTTCACTGTTTGTCTGGTAGGTCAGCATTGTTCATTTCCTAATGTTGTCTTCGCTGTCTCGTGTCTTCCTCTCGTGTTTTCCAGAGGTTTTTATAAGTAGAGTTTTCCTGCCCCGTCAGCATTTTTGATTAAAATAAACAAGTTTATTTTTGATCTTGTATCCTTCCTTCATTCTGAGATCTGCAACCTCACACAACCTGACAACCCCATCAGTGTGAGGGGGTTGTGCTACCACAGTCTGAAAGAGTCTTAGACCTACCACTTTCCTCAACCTGTTAACCTGTGTGGTAGGATTGTCATGAGAATGGGTTACTGGCACACAGAACATGGTGAGAATATAGGAGCTTGGAAATGGTAGTGTCATAATTGCTTTCAAGTTTGAGCTTTTCCAGATTTACTATGGAACAGCCATGTTCTAATAGGTTGTGTAGATCATGGAYGGTGTACCTTGACCTTAATCTTGTGTTAAGAGTTTGTTAGTTTAATCCTAGCCTGGTAAAAACCAGCCACTTGCTCTTCATTTTGTTTCATACAGAGGACCMTTGAGAAACGATTTCTTGCTGGAGGCGTGGACTCTGCTGAAGTTTAWAACAGTTTGGTCTGATTTTACTCAATCACTAACGTTTGGCTGTAACATATGTAGTGCACCAGCTCAACCGTGAAGGGCTATGCTAAAAAGCTTACCCAAAATTGCGTGCGCTGTAAACAACCATCCCCTACTGGGAAGAGAGATGTAACGAGCCAAATGAGATGGCTGTAAACGAGTGGCTTTGTGAGACAAATTTAATTTAATTTGAAAGCCTTGTCAACACGAATTGGCTTCATTCATTTCCTCTGCTGCCACTGCTAAACCACAGGCAGACAAAAACAGCTCAGAAAATCAATGTCWTCGTTCACAACTCCTCCTGTACGYTGATTGGCCCRGTTGAAATTCTACCAAAGAAATCCATGTCAATGAGAGAAAGCCCAGATGAAGCAGTGAAGGGAGATTGAGCAGAATTGTTTMGAAAGGCAATGGCCAGGCTACCACTGCAGGTGGTGACTCAAGGGAGCACATATGACGGCAGTTTTTACAAACAGGCTGATCATTATAAAACTGTGTTTTGTACTTTAGGCCAGTGCTAAAAGAGAGATTGAGGAAAGCATGCAGGTCTTCTCAGAGCTGGCGCGTTCCATCCAGAGGACCCAGGCTGATCTGGTTTTAGTTATCGAGGAGAAGCAGAGGCAGACAGAAAGGAGGGCAGAGAGCCTCATCACCGAACTGGAACAGGAAATCTCTGAGCTGAAGAGGAGGCATTCAGACTTGGAAAATATGGCTCGGACCGATCACATCCACTTCCTGAAGGTAAATGAAATGGTATCAAAACTCATATTCATTCCAATKGTTTTGTATAATCTGTGATGGTTTTCTCTGCAGAACTTCCCCTCRCTCAGCGCTCCTCCGTCTGTTAAAGACTGGTCTGAAACCAGTGTACCCACTGACACATGTGTTGGTTTGATCAGAAGATCTGTGTCCAAACTGGAGTCAACGTTAAGTCAAATGATTGAAAAGTTGTCTGAAAGGGGTAGGAAACACTTTGTATTTATTTTCTCTAAAAAAAAAGATGAAAGCACAATCACTTCAAGAATATAAAATGCTGTCAAATTTAATCTTTCTGATTTTCACAGAGATCAAAAAACTTCAGAAATATTCAGGTAATTGCATTTTTAAAAAGTTTGATTGTCTATTTTAGARCAGTCTGACTGAACAAATCTTATGTTTCTGTAGTGGACGTCAGTCTGGACCCAGACACAGCTAATCCATGGCTGCAGCTCTCTCAGGACAGACATCAGGTGAGGCATCTGGGGGCCTGGCAGGACCTGCCAGACCACCCGGATCGCTTTGACACAGTGGTCATCGTGCTGGGTCGCGAGGGCTTCACTTCAGGCAGACACTACTGGGAGGTGCAGGTGGGGGACAAGGACGACTGGTAYTTGGGGGTAGCCAAGTCCTCTGTAAACAGGAAGGGCAGGATTTCTGTGAGCACCACCCATGGCTACTGGGCTCTGGCCATGAAGAAAGGCCAGGGGTATCGAGTGTCAACATCTCCACCCTTACTGCTCTCCCTCGACCCGAAGCCCAAGAAAGTGGGTGTGTTTGTGGACTACGAAGAGGGGCAGATCTCTTTTTATGACTTGAAAGCTCAAACCCATATTTACACATTTGAAGAAACACTCACAGAGAAGATTCGGCCATTTTTCTACCTGTACTGCTGCGACAAAGCCTCAGACACCATGGTGATCTGTCCAGTTCAGGAGAAAAGTCTGATGAAGCAAAGCTGAAGACATGTTTGATGATCAAAGCAACAACCCTGAAATATACTGTATTTGTGGTACTCACACCTTGTTGTATTAATGTTCAGTGGCATGCAGAGTTTAATAATACATCATCAAATATTTGTGAATATTTTAGTGTCAGGATACCAGAGCTGAAAATAAAGCATCAGCTGAAACTAGAACTTGTTTAGCTTGTAAGGGCTGTGGTTTTACAAGTCAGTGATCTGTCGCTTAGTGCTCCAAAAATTTAAATAATTGATACATACAAAGAAACTCACCTCCTGCTGTCCTTAGGTCAAAATGATCTAAGAGGTGTTAAAGGGATTTCTGACTACTTGCACATGTTGCCCTTAATATGTTCTAAATACTCTATTATACTAAAAGTTGTTGTGACACATGAAAGCTTCTAATTACTTCAAAAAGTGTATACGTTTATTACTTAAGCACATCAACATTTTGTTACTGACTAATGCATCTTGGGATAACAATGATGATAATGGGTGCCACTTGAAACTAAAACACATATACACTACAGTGTCTGGCAATTAGGATATACAGTATTTTGTAGTTGTTTCTATGTTCTGCACAATGTATTGTTAGAACAATAAAACCTGATCAATGTTTAGTAAATTAGCTTGGGAGCTATCGCCATGTAACTAATAGGGTGTTAGCTTTGGAGCTAATATAATTACCTCCGGAGCTATCGCTATATATATGATTAGGTTGACTTTTTAGCAAAAGCTAAAAGGCTAAAACTAAAGTGTGCCTTCCATTTAAAGCATTGTTGATAAGGGTAGCAGGATGTTAAAGAAAAAAGGAGAAAATTAAATTAATTCAAAACAGAAATACTTTTGCAACTCATTGTATCAAACTGTGTTTTTTCACAGTTCATGTTAAATAACACAAAATGGTGGATGTCAAATTAACTTTTTTGTTTTACAAAAGACTTAAAATAGTTCAGGAGTTTGGAGTGGTACAAAATATCTGTGGACAGAATTAAAAAATGAAGGTCTACAACAATTAAAAAAGTATGATGTTATTGTGTTTGTTTAAGACTATATATTGCTCCTTGAAACACTAAAAATTAAAGGCATAGGTTAAGATTTTGGAAAATATTTATTTTGTTCATTTGCACAGTTTTAAGTGTCACTCTATTTATTAATATGAATTTTGAAACCAACAACTCTAATTCATAGGAACAAAATCTACATTTAGCCTTATTTTGTTTCTTATTCCCACTCTGTTTCCATCAGTTATATACTCTAAGTTGGTTTAATCAGTACAAAGATCTTATTAAGAATAACTACTAAACTATAGTTCAGTAGTTCCAACCAGGAATTTGTCTAACATTGTTTTAACAAACAAGATGAGCCAATTTGTGAGCTTTAATGTTGAGAAACATTGACTGCAAAGACACAATATAAATACACAAGACAGAAAAACAGAAGTCTTATCTGAAATAAATGTATATGGATGATGGCTCCTACTAAAACAGTTTGGTGAAGGAAAAAAATCTTTACCACAATAAAAAGTTTCTCCAATTATGGTTACATCTTGTCTTTCTTGACTCAGATGTGAAAAAAAATGAATAAAGCAGTTTTAAGTTTTGTTTCAGTAGAACCATGTGAAATAACCACACCCACTCAGTGGCAGAGTTTGGCTCCTCTTCAGACATTTTGGTAAATTTGTTGCCATATAAGAGACAAGCAGTGAGGGTTTGCAGTTCCTTACTGTGTCTTCTCACCTTGTGCTTAGACAACTGAAAGTTCTCAATTTTACTGCACAACTACAGCAAGGTGAGTTATTCTGGAACTAAACTAAGAGGTTGTGTTGTTTTAAAATAAATTTGGTAAAATGGGAACCAGAATTTCAATCTGCTTTATATGAGAGTGACTCATTTCACGAGTCTGAACTGGCACTGCAGCCTTTTGGTAAACCAGACTCCGAACACAAATCTGATGTTTTGGCTCTTTTTTTGTTTGTTTGTTTCTATTTTCAGAATATGGTGGGTTTTATTTGGTTTACACAGTGAATGCAGATGTGTTTTCTTCTGTTGCTGGTATTACTTCCTGTTGCTAGAGAGTGCAGCTGTGACAGTGTCGGGCAGATAATACCAAGTAAATTATGTGAGAAACAACATGATAATATGTCATGGTATCTTCACAGTAATAAAATTAACATTTGTTTCCTATTTCACTGCAACTGCCTCAACATCCATCCATCCATCCATCACAGGGCCACCTAGATAGAAAAAGGACAAACAACCATTCACACTCACCAACGCCTTGGGAAATTTTAGAGTTACCAATCAACCTAACCAAAATCCAGTCTATAAAACCAGAGTACTCAGAGAAAACCCAAAAGTGAACAGGAAGAACACATAAACTTCACACAGAAAGGCCTCAGGCTGGAAGTTGAACCTGTGACCAACATCTCTTACCACTGCCTGACCAAGCAAATAACACAAATATACAACTTTTACACCGTACAGATACTCTTGATTACCATTCACCAGAGAGGGTGCTTGTGGGGCAGATCTGCAGTGGAAAAAGTTTACTTATGTCAATAAAATGCAGAAACACAAAAATGCCCATCCATAAATGAATTGTATTGTCTGTGACCAGAAAGACCTTGGAGAGGTATTGATCAGCACATCTAGTCAGTCTAAAGATTTATTGAAACTAGGAGACTGAAACATCTGCACCATCAGCACCAACAAGATGATATTTGAAGTCTAGTAAGTAAGTGAGTTTAGGGGCAGTGTATCTGAAGCCATGAATGTTGAATGCACTTGTGTGAATAGCTGAAGAATGAGCCTGAAGAATCCAGTCCCCAAAACCAGCACAGCCATAGTTCAGAATATGGATGGTAACTGTTCATTCTGTGCGGCCTTCAGCTTGCTCCAGGAACCAGATCACAGGCAGGTGTGGGAGGGGGGGAGGTGTGGGGCAGACAATTAGTCTACGTCAGCATCCAGCAAGAATTTAGTCCAACAGCTCAAGGCCGTTGTAGGGGAGAGACAAATCTGTAATCAGTTGTTTTGGGAACAGAAGAGCCAGGCAGACGATATAACAATTTTCCATCTGCCTTCATGTCTGCTGGTACAACTCAAAGTGGCAAATCCAATCAGACAAATAGTGTGGACAATTCCACCGAGCCGATCCATCAGCTTCTCCAAGATCAATTCCATCTGGCCAGAAACATCCAGGAACCACAGCTGGCCCGCAACCCTCAGCAGAACTGCTTACAGACCGAGTCCAGCTCGCTCAAGGCAAAAAATCTGAGTGCTAATAGAATGACCATCCATCAAATTGGTAGGCAGCCAGGAAATGAAAAGCCGCCAACACTGTTTTGTAGAAAACCAGGAGACCACCAGGCCAATCTGTAGAATCCAGTGATCAGAATACAAATATACTGTATATCCAGAACAGAGAAGAACAGAGGTCCCTCCATGTCATCCCATGGAAGAAAAATAAAACTTTGTTCCAAAATAATTATTGAGACCAGCTAACCAAATCCATAAAAAATCCATCATTTCTGGTTTCGGATGAAACTGTTGAGAAGGCTCCAAGCAGCAAAGCAGGGAAGATAAGGAAGGACAGGAGAGGAGGAAAAAGCGTCTTACTCCTCCGAAGAGTGGAAAAAAAAATCTACACATTGGTTTAGGAACAGAGTTGTTTGTGACACACTAAACTATGTCATGTAAAAGCATAGAGTTTTACTATTAGTTGATGGGGTGTAACTACATCGACCTATATCGATATATCGATTTGAATAGTTAATGATTCAACTATATAGAGGCAAAATAAAAATATCGATCTATATCGTCATCATATGCTCGATGTGAATCGGTATCATATGCCCATCTAACACAGTCATTGTGTTAGATGGGCATATGATATTGCATTATATCGATCACAAATTTGTGTATTTAACTGAATCAAAATCATATTGTGACAGACTATGATATTAAGAAATATCGAATCGTCATCCAAACATATCGATGTAATATTGTATCATGATAAAGCTGGTGATTTACACCCCTACTAGTTGATGTGGTGTTTTTTCACAAATGTTATCTGCAATATATTAGGAAAACAGACACTTGTTTGCAGTGGTGGACACTGTTATGATCGGGTGAGTGAGCTCTGAATTAGTTCTGAACACAGATAAAGGTTTAACAAGTTTATTGTTAGAATTTGCAATTGGAGGTCGAGAACGGGATTCCGGCAGCAGCAGGTCTGCACACAGAGATGGGAAGTTAGGTTGGTACAACAAGATTATATATTAAATAAAATAATATAATACACCAACCTTCTCATGAGGGACTGGGTCCGGGTTGAAACAACAGCCACGGTGTTTTGGTTCCGGGTGGTGTTGTTAGTGGAGGTAATGCTGCTGTGGGGTTTACTCAATGTCAACAACAAATCCAGGGTCATACACGGGTGGTCAGAGATTGTTACCAGGTTTGAGGGGGCAGGCTGAGCCGTTGGTCCAGAGATGCGTTCCGTGGTTGAGATCCAGGAAGTCCGATGTGGCGAGGTACCGTGCAGGGGAAAGGCGAGAGGCAATAATCCAAGAGACAGAAACAAGGTCGTTACCGTGAGAGCAGATGACAGGCAGGATCCGACAAGGGCTGAGGCAGGAGACGTTAAACCAGGAGACATGAGCAGGGTCGGGGACATGAGGCAAGAGCAGGACAAGGAACAAGAATGCTGGAAGATCATAGACGAGCTGATGAAAATCTGGCAATGGGCTGGAGGCTGGAACTGGGATATATACTGGCAGGAACAGGTGACATGAATCAGTTGATTAGGGTTTCTGTAACGGGAGGGGCAGAGGCAATGAGCAGGGCAAGGCAGACAGGAGCAAGAACTGGGTCAAGAACAGGCAGACAGAGACAGAATCATAACAGGCACTAGTCCCCTAAAGCGTAAATCCGCTAACAGCGGACCTAAATTTCTTGTTTGCACTTTAGGGCTTTTATTAATTTTTTTCTAGCTGTTTGCTAGGGTTGGGCATAATCGTATCGTGTGCAATTAATCGTCAGAAAAACATTAATCGATCATTTTTTGACACTTGACGATTAATATGATTAATGCTACCAGGGAGACAGACTGGAGATTACTCCGGTCAGTCTGCTCGGTGCTCCTCTCCACTTCAAATATGATGAACATTAAAA